ATCCGGAATCCCATTGACCACTGCCTGCAAGGCAAGCCTGCCCGAGATTGTCGGCCTGATTGCTGGGGATACATAGTGTTGTTGATCTCGGAGCCGCAGCCCTTTACTTTCGCGAGTGGCAAATCGCATTGCTCAAGAGTCGGTGCCAATTCGGCTGTGGAAAATGACACTGTGGTCACGATAGATGGGAGTATGTCGAGGGCCCTGACCTTGAATGTGTTTAGCTTCATTTTTGCTGTGTATGTAGAGACATCTCAGAAAGATAAGTTTCCTAACACAATCCCGCTTAATTATATGGTTAATATTGTCGACGTCTATGCATTTGTGCGATTTTGCTTGCAAACTAAAGTTAGATGTAACTCCATTCGTTGATTCCTTTAGCAGTATCATCCGACGAAAAATTCGCTACAGAGACTTCTTGTTTTGGCCAATCACTCAAAAAGCCATCTGTAAGCAGAACCATACACGGAGTCCCGGTATAGGCTGTCCAGTTACAAAAGTTTCTGGCCTAATGCCCGAAAATTTTCAAATGCCTACCAGGATCATATTATGTGCAAATAGTCTTTGTACAAACCGCATCAGTTTTAACTGATACCACCCACATCGACTTGCAACGGGCGGCGAAGCTTTTTGATGGCGCAATTTTAGGGATTGTACCCGTTTGCTTGATGCCTAAATGGCCGCATCCCATTCTGAGGAGTCCCAATTCTGTAATAATTGTGAAGTTTGTCCAGACAAGGATGGTTACCTATACTGCACGTAACAGTGTCGTTCAGGCATTTTGAAATACTTCCTGGCTCCTGCTTCTGCCTGCCAAAGTTGTGGTTGTGGCATTGCACGTGAATATGCAGCCTTAGGGATCTGAGACTCCGATGGCTAGAATGTTAAACCTGACAAAATGAGCAGGCACGGGGAGATCGGTAAACGTTCTTGTTTCGAGCGTTTCCGGACTTAGTCCGAATGAGAGCTTGAAGCAAGCAGCACAAGGCACTAGGTCCTGGCCAGAACAAGTCAGCATGGATCAACTTGCTTCATCTGGCATATAGACGCGGTTACTCGTCTGGCCTCAACTTGAGTGAGCCCGTTCGGCGTGTTGACAGTTGAAGTTCCTCTCGTGTTTACATTGTCAAAGGCCTAAACAATTTATGGTCTCAGCTCAGAAAGAGAACGTAGACTTTGACCTTCCCTCGGATTCCTGTTACGACGCGAGTGTGAAATTGCAAGACTTGCGTGCTTAGACGGCAAGAATGAGTACTGAATTATATTTTAAAATGTCGAAGTTTACCTTCGTGTCACTCGGCGGTCCACATCTTTACTCGCCGCAGCCACGAATTTGAAAGGAGAGGTCGACGGAACATTCAGGAAAGGAGGAGAATAGATGAATGACTTGCTTAGGCATATTGAACTATAGCATCTGCAAAATGATCACAGTAAGGAATGGAACCTTGATTTAATTTCCAGTCCAAACGAACAATCTCCCATTAGTTTTCGCGGAAACAACATGAAATGGATCAATTGTCGTAGGCTTTACAGAAAGTGCTGACAAACTGGAACGTCAGCCGGTTCTTCAAAACCAGCCCCAACGCCCAACATTTGTCGCTGATTTCGTTCACGGAGTGGCAGCAAGCGGCCGAGACCGACTTAGTCTTGCAAAGGAAACCCAAGACTTCTTTAAGGACCGCATCCGTGTCTACCGCACGGCCAAAGAGCAGCTCCTTGGGTTCAAGCACGCCCCCACGGAGATACGCCTTGGACAGGGGATGCTTGCCCAAGAGGGCGTGAGAGAGCGCGGCGCCGCAATTCTTCAAGTTGTTTATCGCGCCGAAGCAATCTTCGAACCCCAATATCTTCCGGTTTTCCAGGGCGCTCGGTGCCAGGAAGTCCAGCCCGTGGCCGAGCCCCATCCGGACCAACAAGGCCAGGCACAACCCGATGGAGAGTGTGTGCACAAATGTCCATCTTGATGTTGTTGCTTGTAAATTTGAATGGCTTCGAATCAAAAGAGCAATCAAGTCGGACTTTGAGGCGTGATATCACTTTCCTTAAGGATTTATTTACCCCACAATTTTGCTAATGGTCACCGGTAAAAATCCTCCAGGATACAATAAAGTCTCAAAATGAGAATACTAGATAGCAATTCTAGTATTTCTCCAGGATCTTTCTAGGAAACAATTGAAAATGATGACTGTAGTTTTTCGAAAGAAGACTTGAAAATTGATCTCTTTTTTCTTCTTGCCAAAACTCGATATATATAAAATCGGTCTTCATAGGCAACTCTTCACGAAAGGTTGCAAAGCTAACAAAGATATTTTTTCGGAAGAAGTTGCAAACTAAACAAATGCAACCCTTCGGGAAAGGTTGAAAACTGAATAAGTATAATCTCCAAAAGTTGTCTTGAAAAGACACATGTAAAATTCGGAATAAAATAAAATAAAAATATATATAAATAAAATTCCGAATTTTCATAATTTCGAAAATTATTTAATAAACAAAAAACAACCTTTCAACTAATAAAGATTAATGGGATAACCTTACGAAATAAAAAAATAAAGGGATTAATGCTAATTAAACCGGGCGCGCCCAAGAAGTCCAACCCGTGGCCAAGCCCCCATCCGGACCAACAAGGCCAGGCACAACCCGACGAAGATATTCACAGTTATAAAGTGGCGTTTTACCGAAAACTTTCATGTGGGACAAAGAAAAATGCACTATTTTGTTTGTTTTACAAACAAACAACCAACAGCTGCCATGGCTTAAAGACTAAACCAGAGAGAAAGGTGGACAGAGGGACTCTTGCAGATATGGTGGGATTTTTATGCTGGTCCATATTGAAGGCGATGCCTAGGCAGCTGTAGCAATCAATCAATCCTTTTGAAACGCTTCTTGGCTCTTAAATCCTATCTTGGGTTGGATGAACAGTTTAATAAGTAAATGAAAAAGTTCAGCTGCTAATTAACTTGCTGTTGAATATGCCCTTCAGACCATTTTTTTTTGCCCCGCACACGCACACACACACGCATATAGGCATATGAGGAGGAGAGTGTAATATAACATGATTATGCTTGTATCAGAAACATAACATGTTACCTGACATTTACATGTCCAGAGGGAAGTCATGATCAGATAGTATGACCAAGGAATTTGAAAACATACTAATTATTTAGATTTGTTCTATCAAAAGATTCATTTTAAATTTATATCGAAATCAAAGTAAAGATTTTGAATTAAAGATAAAAATGAAGTTACCTGGAATGGGATTAAATGCTTGTAGGGAAAGTTCCAAAACACTCATTGGAGTGTTGCTCTTGTCTCAAAATTCCCCTCCAATTTAGCTTAGTTTCAAATTACTCACGAACCTGATCATTTTGATTCAATAATTCTCGAAATAGCGCCCGTTTCTTAGGCTCCCCCAAACTTAACTTTGTTCCCCTCAAAAAAGAAAGCGCTAAGGTCTCTCGAGCATATTATCGGAAAATTGGAGATTGATCGTAGGCTACAATTAGGCATGAGGTTCAACCGTAAGGAAGCATCCGAACCAACCGAAACTCGCTCAAACAATTGAAACCGAACCGAAAACTTTGATTCGGTTTGGTTCGATCGATTCATGGCTCAATTTTCTGTTTTTTCTTCTTTTTCTTTTTTTTTTTGCTTTTTATTCCTATAAAATATTTTAGTCATTTACGCTATTCAACTATTTATAATTCCGTTACAAGACTATAGATGAAGAAGAAAGCTGTAATGAGAACACCGTGTTGTAGATTGGAGCAAAGCCGACTATGCATTTTCTTGCATGCAAGTAGAAGAGGGTAAAATCAATTGAGGAATTTTTTATTTTTTAATTTCGATATATCTGGTTATGGGGTTACGGTAGTTTTTGGACCAAAATGCCCTTGCTTGTGAAAGGCGCAAAACTGACACGTAACGAGCACATATCCGTTGGCCGGCCATTATTTTTATAAGGAAAAATAATATAAATGGTCCAACAACTTTTACACGACATGTCGATGTGATCTCCGAATTGTTAATTTGTTCAAAGTGATCCCGAACTTTTATTGCATGTATCAAACTAGACCCTAAACTATAATGAATATGTTCAATGTGGTCCATGAACTTTCAATTAGTTCGATATGATCCATGAAATTTTAATACATGAAAATATTTAATATTGTCATTCCATTAATTTAAATTCAGAGACAATATTGAATATCGTCATATAGTCTAGGGACTAGTTTGAATATATACCAAAAAATCAAGGAGGACATTAAACCAATTAAAAATTCAACACCATGTTGTACATTGAGTTAAAGTTCACGGACCACACTGAACAAATCAAAAGTTCGGGGATTACGTTATGCATGGGTTAATTCCAAAAAAAAGCATCAAATTTAGGTCGAGGGACAATTTTGGCCCGAACTTTTTTTTGTCCTGTAAAAAAGCACCAACTTTAGGTCAAGGGACAATTCTGCCCGAACTTTTTTTGTCTCGTAATTTTTTGTCTCGTAAAAGCACCAACTTTCACTTAAATCTCAAATCTGCCCTTATTGACTTAAAACCATTGATTTTCCAACTTGACTATTCCACTTTAGCAATAAATCCACGTGACTTGCTGACTGGATTTAAAGCATTATTCATTGTTTTATTCTCTGAACCACAACTTGAAGAATAACGATAAAAATGTTCGTCTCCTTCACTTCAGCCCAAGTCAAAAATATCTCAGGATTGAATCTTTCACGCCAAACTTCGTCGTTTTGTTGTAATCAAGTTGTAGACCATCGTCCGTCGATAAACGCCATGGAAGAGATTCGCCAGGCTCATCACCATAACTTTTTTTCTCAAACAAGGTTAACTTTTTTTTAATTAACCCCGTTATGCATTGGGCCAAATTTCAGAGACTATACATCGAGCTCGGGAGATTGTTAGGTTGATATGATCAAGTTTAGAGAGCTTATTGAATTTAAAATAATTAAATTAAAAAAGTATTTTGGAATAAAATCAAATCTAGGGAAGTCCCTCTAAATCCTGAACGCAGAGCGAGGAGGGAGAGCGTCGACGCAACGCAAAATGCTGAGAAGGAAACCCAGCAAGATCGAAGTCAAGATCGAAGACAAGGACGAGCTCGAAGACGCCCGCAAGCGCTCCGCCGCCGCCGCCGCCGCCGCCGGCCCTCCCGCCTCCTCCGCCGCCCTTGCCGCCGCCGGAACCTCCTCCATCCTCCAACACCTCGACCGCCCCTCCAACCTCCCCTCCAAGGCCCACCGCATCGGCCTCTCCCCCTCCTCTTGAATCCCTTAGGCGATGGAAGTCGAGGTGAAGCTCCGCCTCCCCGACGCCGGCGCCCACCGCCGCGTCGCCGCCCTCCTCTCCCCCCACCGGCTCCGCACCGACCGCCAGGAGAACCTCTTCTTCGACGGCGCCGGCGGCGAGCTCTCCTCGCGGCGCGCCGTCCTCCGCCTCCGTTTCTACAACGGCGACGCCCGCTGCGTCGCCTCGCTCAAGGCGAGGGCCGTCCTGGTCGACGGCGTCAGCCGCGTCGAGGAGGACGAGGAGGAGCTGGACCCGGCGGAAGGTCGGGAGTGCGTGGCCGATCCGGGGAGGATGGGGTCGGTGGGCTCTAGGGTTTTGAGGAGGTGCAGGGAGGAGTTTGGGGTGGGGGAGTTTGTGGGGCTGGGAGGGTTTGGGAATGTGAGGGATGTGTATGAGTGGAAAGGGCTGACCTTGGAGGTCGACGAGACGAAGTACGAGTTCGGGACGTGTTATGAGATCGAGTGCGAGAGTAGTGATCCCGAGGCCGTGAAGAAGGTGATTGAGGAGTTCCTGAAGGACAATGGGATTGAGTATAAGTATTCGGAGGTGTCCAAGTTTGCGACTTTTCGGTCCGGGAAGTTGCCGGAGTGAGTTTTCGAGTCTTCAGCATTCGATTTTCAGTTCTCACTTATAGCTGCTAAGAGTGTTTTAGCTTTCGTTTTATTAGCGTCCAAGTTTACATTCTTGTTTGGATTGCCTAAGGAATTGTAGATCATGCTGAAGCTATGAATTGTGTGTGATTTGAGTGGATGGAAGTAAAATCATTGCATTGATGAAATTGTGAAGTGAATCATTGGATTTCTTCATTTCCCAGATAGCTAAACAGGGACCTCGATCAATAGTTTGTCATGGGGAATTGAAGCCGTTAGTTTTGTTTTCGTATCAAAGTTTTATCATCAATTGAAGGAAATGAGAGTCACCTTTACATCCCCGAGTTCCCTTTGTCTGCTGTGTTATTTGATATTTATCTAGATAGCCATCTGCTGCCGATTTCCTCCCTTTTTTCTGTGGTTCAAGCAAGGGGCGGTGGAATAGGCTTCATTTAGTTGTCCGAGTTTTCTTGAATATATAATGCCAGTTTTGATTCATTTTCATATCTTTGGAATGGCAAATGACAGTAGTAGGTCAAAGTGTCTTTTAGCTGGATTGCTCGCCAATGTTCTTTCCTTGTCATTCCTTTGGATTTGCATCTCTTTCCATTTGTCAAGTATGCCATATCTGCCACATCTGGAAAGACAGTTCAGATTGCGTGGGATCGCCAGGGCAGTAGATTCAGTATCTTATTTTGCTTGATTACATATGCTTCTTCGATGGTTGGATTGCTAGCATTTTGGTGCACTTTATTGTCTGCTGAGTGTGCTGCGTGCCATGTGAGGCAAAAATTGATCCGAGAATGTTTAATCATTACGTTCAATTTGGTTACTTGAAGCGACAGGATTCATGTATCTCACAGCAAGAATCATCTGCTTTTGCAGGTAGTCGTTGTGGACAGGCAGCGGACGACCTTTATCACCACAAATATTCCTTTTTTTTCGTGGCCATCGGCTCAAGTATCCATATTAATGAGTAAAAAAGTTGGCAGTTCCGAGAATGTTGTGAACTCACAATTGGATGAGGTCGCATGCTACTCTAATTATTCGCATTCAATAAGTGGAGCATTGTATCTCATTAGTATGTTTTCCCCTGGACCGAGTAGTTGTTGAAACGTATGAACTACGATAATATATATTGAGGATGTCAGCTATCTGCAAGAACCATAGACGATGGTCTGATTGTGTTTGTTTAGCTCATCCAAGAGTGATCAGGGAACTCTGGTAATTTGCTCATTTTCAGCTTTGTTTTTCCCCAAATTGTGCTCAAACAGCCTCATCCGTCCAATGCATTTACTCGTTTCTGTTTGGTATTCCATGCTATACTCCATGCGGATTCGCGTTGAAGAGATGACTTTCTTTGCAGTAATCTTTTTGTTAACTTAATTCTAACTTCTCCTTTACAAGAAAAGGGAACTTAAAACGCCAAACATCCTCGACTCATAAAGGTAGCAAACAAATTCATGAATACCAGTCATAGTTAAGTAAGATTAGCTAGCACCATTACCATTGGTGTCCTCATTTGGTCCGTTCTTACCGTTGGGCTATCGAGTATCTTGATAAATCGATACATTTTTTCTCTTTCCTAACTCGTTCAATTTATCATCTTTCATCTCCACAGCGAATATTCGAAAAATGCGACTACATGCTTTCCTTTCTCCCCATATGATAACCAAAATTCAGGATCGCGGAAGTTCCGTTCATATACAATGATATCACTAAAATATATAGATCCGCAATGACCCTTCGAGTTCTGGAGCTCAAAAGAACTGAAAACCACGAGATATGCAACGTAGTTCACAGATTTGACGACATCCGCATTTTGCAGCTCATGATCAGCCAGTGTTTTTGGACATATTCTAAGGCAAACGTGGGCCAATGTACATGCGAATCTCCTTAAGAGTTGTGTTGAGTCAGCCAAGAAGTCAGACTTTCACACGAACCTTCCAAATATCCGACGAGCAAGAAACCACCTTTTTGTCCGATTCCTTCCTGCCGTACCTGAACGAAAAACTGCCCTCTCGTCTCGCCTTCCCCGAGCAAGATATTCCCAACGACCTACTCCGGGGATATCACGATGTCGATGGAGATCGAGGCCGTCGAGGAGGCCCGGCCGGCCGCCGCCGTCGAGCCCTGCGGCGTCGGCGGCGGAGGAGCTGGCAAGGAGAGGTTGAGGAACGATGTGTATGCCGCGGCCGCGTACGGCGACGTGGAGAAGCTCAGGAGGCTGGTGGAGGTGGAGGGTTGTTCAGTGCGCGAGCCAGATGGGCTTGGTTATCATGCCCTGCAGTGGGCTGCTCTGAACAACAGATGTGTTGCTGCTCAATACATCATCCAGGTTCTTCTCTCCCTTTCTTTTAGTGTATCCCTTTAGCGAGGAACGAAAAGGTTGCGCTTTTTTGATGGGGTCGTCTAGATGGTTTTTACTGTGTCCAGATGATTTATCTGTTTGAATTGGTTCCTCTGTTTTCTGGGTTTTAAGCACTTTTTCTTGTATGTTTCCCAAGTTCATTCTTATTCCGGGAACTATGAGTTGGCTTTGTTGTGCTTGGCTTCTCTGAAGTTCGTGCCTTTATGTGTGTTTTATGCGGATGAATACTGTTTAGAGTGAGGGGGTTTTTTTCATCAGTGAATTTAGGATTCTCCAATCACTCTCCTCGATTCTGAGAATATATGTGAAAAAGGAAATCTGGGTTTTTCTTTTTTGGTGATAAGAATATTGGTCGAATCATTGAGAGCAGAACGTCACTCATAGGCCTTAACATTTAGTTTTTATGAGTTTCAAAAATTAACTTGCAAGATATTGTTCTGTGGATGTGAACCATGTTAAGCTCAGAAGTTTTTGCGGGAGAGTGATTGAGTAGAATTTGATTGTGTACCAAGGATAATTGGTGTCTAATTCTTCTCTGTTCTTTCCAGCATGGTGGAGATGTAAACGCAGTCGATCACACTGGGCAGACAGCATTGCACTGGAGTGCGGCACGAGGTGCTATCAAGGTAGCAGATCTTTTACTTCGAGAGGGTGCTCGGATTAATACTGCTGACAAGTGCGGGTTTCAGGTTTGTTCATGTCTGTGTACGTTTGATATAATATTCTCTTTATCTATCGTGGCACATGGCCTTTTAGTTGTTGGCTTCTGGATCTGAGAGCCATAATAACTCTTGGTCCATATAACTATACATCTGTTCAAGAAACCATACTGAAAGAAGAAGTGATTTATTTACTGTGAATAGAAACATCATAGAAAGCTGGTAGCTGGAGATTTCATTCGTCTTAGTAATTCAGAAACAGCTTTGTACTTACTGCTGAACGTTCACATGGACATGATCGCAGACAACACATGTTGCAGCTCAGCATGGTCATACTGCTTTCCTTCATTGTATGATCTCAAAATGGAATGTGGACGCTGATGTTCCTGACAATGATGGAAGAAGCCTTTTGCACTGGTACCTGAGAACCTGCAGTCTAATGCCTTTACGATATCGTATATATTTCTACTCGTACAGTTACCTATAGTTAGCTTGTGGTCAAGCTGCATAATTTTGCATTCTTGAGGATGTTATCATTTTACAAATCACATTCGCATGATTGTCTTCAGGATGCAAATGTGCCGCCCACCTAGTATTAAGGAGTCATTGTTAAGATGTATCTCCTAGGAGAGCTTTTTAGTCATGTTACTTGGCTTACATGCTGTCTGTTTCCATGTGACACTGTTAATGTGCTCAATTTGATGCTCTAATGGTCTGGAAGAGGGGCATGGGCTCATTTTCATGAAAATGATGGATTGAAATTTGTAATTGTAAGTTCAGAGACATTTGAAAAAGATAATGAATGTGCAGAGACCAAAAGTTGATCAAGTTGATTTTTATTATTCATTCTTTTGAGATTGTTAAAGGCATGAACTTCAATAGCCAGATTCTTATAGAAATCGGAGGGTTGCTCCTCTCCAAGTATTTTCTTTTGAACACGCATATTTGCATCATTCTATTTGCCTTCTGCATTTATGTGAATTGATGCTTTCAAAAAGCTTCCTTCTACTGTAAACACCTGATGGGACATTATTATTTGTCATTGAATTCCAGGGCTGCTTATAAAGGTTTTTCCGATTGTATACGTCTTCTCTTATTTCTAGATGCTCATGTTGGACGCAAGGACAAAGAGGGTGAGTTTACATGCTCCATTCTTGCAGAGCTGGCCCAATGAATGTGATGATAAGAAAATCATAGTTGCCTCTAGCTGATCACATATTAATTCTGTTGGTTTAGGGTGCACTCCTTTGCATTGGGCCGCTATTCAGGGGAACTTGGAGGCGTGTGAGGAATTAGTAAGGGTTGGCAAGGAGGAATTGATGGTGACTGATAATACTGGCCTTACACCAGTTCAGCTTGCATCTGATAGGAATTACCAACAAGTTGTGTATTTCCTTGTAGGTGCTTCGCTGACATGTCATTCTAATATGTCATGATGATGAATTTTTGCACTTCAGATGTTATCGCTACACATTCTCCTGTTGTACCGTGCCTGTGATGACATACTCATTGCATTCCTGGCTTCCTGTGAAAGTGAAGCTGCCTGTAACATCTTTCCGTGATACGATAGGAAACTTTGTAGATATAAGATATAGAAGCAACCTTGCGTTAGAGTTATTTTTGGTACGTTACCGTTATTCTGGTGACATCTTATGCATAAGAGATGAAGTATGCCTAGTCTAAAGCTATATTTACCTTAAAAAAAATTCTAAAGCTGTGATTAGCACCAAAAAAGATAGTCAAACCCACGAGCTTTCCTTCTAACATGATATGACTATTGCACTACCACAAACATGCAATTTTTAATGTGATTGATCTTTTGGAGGCTGGTTTGGGAACATGTTTCCTTTTTATATGATATGGCTATCTTCACCTGGTGGCGTACTGTAATTTCTGTGATGTACTACTCTGACCTTAAAAATCAGGCCATGTGTCCATTGTCAATCTCTGTCAAAGGCACTTGACTAATCTACTGCTTAGTTCCCCAACATCATACAATCTTGAAATACTGAGAAATCTGTTCTGCAGGAAAATGCCCGAAAGCAGCTTGATCAGAAGCTTTATTGGAATAGTGGCTTTGGGAAGTTTTTCAATCTCGGGTTCGCACCCATTCTGTGGGTCATAATTCTTTTGCTACTGGTGACCTACACAAAATCCATCATAATGGGTATCTTCAGTGCACCCCCTCCTCCACTTCTCTCCCTCTGTCTCACATCCATGTGTGCGCATCATTAGTTTTCTTTGGATTGATGGTTCAATCCAACAACCTTTACAGGACTTAAAATTATATTCGTGGTGCAGGATCAGATCTACCAAAGTTAAGATCTGGTGTTGACTTTCTTGCATGGCTGGGGGCTCTCCTAGCAAGTGCTGGACTTGTCATGCTTTACAGGTGCAGCAGGTAAACAATTGTGAGGTGTAAAGACTTTTACATGGCACCAACCCCTCAAGAAGAAAAGCAGAATATTTTGTTGTTTCTACACCTCATTGTACTATGTCCTGTTATTTTACTTTATCTATACTGTCCTGAAGGTTTTGCATGTATAGTAGTGATCATGATATTTGACTTTATCTACGCATGATTATTTAATTATCCTGTTATTGTTTCTCCTTAACTTTGTTCTCGACAGTTTTTGTTTGTTTTCCTTCTTTACTTGCTAGAATATATAAGGATTGGTTTATTGACTAGGGTGTCGAGAACATTTTGAATCATGTGTAGGATAATTCCCAATGACTTAGTTACTGTGCTGGAAGCAAAGTTGTTGTTTTGCTCACAGTTACATATGCTACATTCGCATATAAGATTATATAAGGATGCGTGGTACTTTCTATGAGTACTTTTTTGTTCTTATCAGGTGCCAAATTCGCAGTTATTTCACCTATTTAATTTGTGCCTTTTCTTCGATTGCAGCAAGGATCCAGGATACATCAGAGTGAGCTCGCATGATCATAAGATTATGACAGACAATGTGCGCTTTGACCCAGATTGCTATTTCCCTTGTAATCTTTTGTATTGTACTCTGTATCTCAACAGTCAATCGAATTTCTAGCCCAGTGGAATTTACTCTTTTATTAACATTAACATACTCTAAAGCGCTTAAGTGAAGGTTTGGTTTGATATTTAAGCTCTAAGCAGTTTGGTAATTTTTTTTTATTCTTTTTATTTTTGGTTATATGGGATCATTAGGAACCACTGTTGAAGATTGAGATAAATAATCCCGCTTTGCTTGCTGGCAACTGGTCTCAGCTCTGCACAACATGCAAGGTGGCATCGGTTAACCTTTATATTTAGCATATACCTCATTCCTTCTTTATCTTTTTCCTGATCTTTCTTTTATAGTGTTAGATTGTGAGGCCTCTCCGCGCAAAACATTGCTCCATTTGTGACCGCTGTGTTGAACAATTCGACCATCATTGCCCTTTGGTATCCAACTGCATTGGCAAGGTACTCTTACATGATGCTGAAAGCCAATACGCGACCTTGCTTTTTTCTCAAATTATAGTAGTTTTCTCCATGGAATTTTGCGAGATTGAATACGTTTTCAAAAAGAAATTTCATTAGCTCATGGTGTTATCATAGTTTCTCATGTCACATGACCATCAGTCTTAATTGTTTCCAAAATGTGATTGACAATCGATTTTCGAGTTCAATACTATCATGAAGTTCAGATTAGCTCAACTTTAAAAAAGTACTTTTCCTTTTATCTCCCTTCTTGTTCATATATTTTAATTCACAGTTTTTCAATTGTGATGCAGAAGAACAAGTGGGATTTCTTTGTATTCCTAGTTTTAGAAGTTTTGGCTATGTCAATTACCGGCGCAGTTGCTCTTACAAGTAGGTTTTATCAGTTTTCAGTGTAAGTTATTAAGTTCTGCTTGTGGCATTTTTTCCCCTCATAACAATAGAATCTTTGCATACAGGAGTTCTGGGTGATCCAGCTGCACCATCCTCTCTTGGTGCTTGGTTGAAACATGCTTGTATCCATCACACTGGTGCTATGTCATTTCTCATTGCCGAGTTTTTCCTCTTTTCAGGTGTTGTAGCATTGACAGCTTTGCAAGCATATCAGGTAACATCCATCGTTCTCTATTGCACATCTTTATGTCGCAATGAAAAATGACAAACACTTTTTATCTTGTTGTTTATTGTAGTGACACGCCTGTTACTTGTCTAGTTGGACTCCTTGCACTTTTTTTTCCAACGACCTTTCTAAAAGTGGCAAAATTCCTTGTGACAGATTTCTCGTAATATTACCACGAACGAGAGGGAGAACTCTATGCGCTATAGCTACCTCAAGGACCTGGGTGGCAGATTCTGGAACCCCTATGACCGTGGTTTTGGGAAGAATTGTGTAGATTTTTTCCTCAACGGATACAATGAAGATGTGGAATATATTGGAGACTGGGCTGATTCCGAGGGCATTGGCATGAAGGTTATGGCGAGGAGATCAGATCAAGAATACGATGAGTAGATGTGAATCTGAAAAAAAACAGAAAAAAGAAAAACAATGGTCACTGCGAGACTTCTGATGGCAGCTGCACTGGTGACATCTCAGTTTCGACAGACTGGTCCGCTATATTGAAAGCATCAGGGCATTGAATTCAAAGCCGGAAGAAGCTGAAGTTGCGTCATGGCTGTGTTGTAAATACGTCTGATAAGTTCATAGAATGATCGAGTATCAAAGTTGTGGGTGGCGCATACAGTCTGTCCCCGTATGAAGTTTTGTTCTGAGGTTAAAGTTGGTCATATTGTTCATGAAACTTTCTGTGTGAGCAGATGAAACTGATGTGTGTCGCGAACCTCACGAGGTGAAGCCCCAGAGGTCGCTGAGTGAAAATTTAGGTGTCGACAATGTGACATGTACATGCTTGCTTAAGAAAAATAGTCTTCTTGTTTCACACATGGGTCATGAATTCATTCCACGCAATTGATAGGAACATTATAAACTTTTCTGGGCATTCTCCTTCAAATTAATCTGAGAACCGATTTCGCAAATATCTGTTCGTGTGAAGAGAGCCTACCGGTGCTGAAATTATGAGTATAACAAATTTCTGTGGAAACGAGCAGACTGATATTCACAAGATTATATAAAATATGCGGTCACGATGAAATAAGACCACACAAGAAATCGCACACACGATTATGTCCACGATCCTGGCAAATTTGCTGTGGCAGAGAATCTTGCTCTCGAAAACAACATTCGTCCAGCACAAAGATAGAAACTTCACAGTAACTAGAACTCATGTAACTCCAACAAGTTGAACAAAGGATGAAGTTGACACTAAATTAGAAATACAAGCCAAGATGACCGACTCTGACTGACAAGGTACGTGAATGAACCGAAGAACCACTTACAATTCAAACAATACCCACAATTGAACCTCTTCGAGAAAGACTAAAATTAAATCATATTACAGTACCAGAAAATTGAACACAATACTATATTTTTTTCTTTTAAACCAGTGTACATACTCTATCCTAAGGAGGAAAAATACGAGGCAATGATGGTGACGAAGCCGGCATCCTAAATGGAGATCCCTGCTTCTTTTCCCCAATAAATATGTGGGAAGTCATTGCGTTGATGGTTGAAAACCCGAACTCCAACTCCGGCACAACCAATATAACAATACTTCTATGGACGAAAGGCCATGAATGGACCACAAGCAAAAATATCCTGCAGACCAGAACTCCAAAGTCAAAAGATAGAAAAGATATTCCGAGGGAAATGAGCAGCTAAGAGGTTAAGTGCCAGGGGTTAAGGAGTCACTTTCGAATATACAACACAAACCATTAGCTAATAATTTATCACCATTAACCTTGTTGATTAATCGCCAGTAAAATAATATTCACATACGTAATATACAAAGCTCAATGGAACTAATCTGTCCCAAGACTGATTGAAAAGGAAACAAACATCATCAAAAGACAACTTCCATCAAGGGACTCAACAAAGAGGATGTTGAACATGTACATGACACAGTTACAGTACCATGAAATACAATTCTTTCCCGCGATATTTGCATCGCATTAACAACTCTCAGCAGAAGCAAAATTTTCAGACACTTACTCCTTTCCAAGAAAGCTATTTTAAGTCATTGAAAATTCCATTATTTGCATCAAACAGAACGAGCTATTGCTCTACAGGTCATTGCAATGTACTCAAATACTATAGCCAATCCCATCCATCATCAAAATCCTCAAATGATGACTTTTGCAGGTTCCTAATTCCAGGTACAACAATGCTATCCAAGCCCCCTTATTTATTGCAAGAAGCATGACCACATATTATCTAGATGATTCTTCAGTAGTCACTAGGCAGTCATACAGCAGCAAGAATACAAGGCCATTGATAAGGATATCAGTATTGACCGTGAAGGTGCAACTAAAACCATGTCCTACTAGCTAAAGATCCCCAACAAGCTCTTAATAAAGGTTTCTTCGCAGATGTTTATCTCACAAGTTCACGAGAACTAACATTGTTAACTTCCCATCGAAAAGCACAAAGGTTTCAGTTTCTCCCTTACTTTAAGAAATCATCAAGTGAAGGAAACACATGAAAGGGCAATCAAGAAGACTCCAACAGCAAATCAAAATAGACCACGCCTAGAACTGGCTTTTCCTAAATTTTTTAATGATATAATAGTACTAGAGACTTGGAGAGAAAGCAATACAGGGGAAAATTAATAACTAGTCAAAAACTCTAGAGTCTATGCAACAATCGTTTATTTTGGCGAGAACCGCAATAGGAACCGGCACTGTTTTGTCATAAAAAGACATCACCACATACCTCAACACACAGCATCGTGTAACCCAAAAAGTGGAGAAAAATAAGAGTGATGTCTGTCTTGGAAAGCCTGTACAAGGACATGTTACTTAATGTTGTTCAAGAGCATCATGAAGCCTGGATGTTCGCCTCCGGAACAATGGCTCCAACCGGACTGATGGAACACCACTCTGCCACTTTTTAGCTTCATACATCTCATTCCATGCTTGTACTATCTCATCAATTTTAAATCCTAAACCTGTCACACAGGAGAGAGGATCAGCTTCTTCTCAAGATTAATAAGTTCACCAAACACAACACAACAATGAGTACATAAATGTTACCTTCAATTGCACCATGATTTGAACTATGGTTCTTCACCATAACCGCTATATCCGTTGGAGAAGCTCCAGCAAGTTCAAACTTCTCGACCGCAACTTCCAAACATTCATGCCAGACAGGTAATCCTAATTTGAATTCCACAATGGAACGCTCATACAGCATGCTACCCCATAAAAGATTTATCTGAGATCTCATGTTTGCAGCCTGATCAGCAGCTTCATTTGCCGTCATTTCATTGAACGATCCATCCAACCCTAATTGTTGCAACTGAACTTTACTGGTATTTGGATTTGAGAGATCCTTCAGGCGTTGCTCTTCCCATTCTTCCCACATCTGCATGCCTTTTTCCATGTTGTCCTCAGCATAGTTATACAGTTGGAGAATCTCAGAAGAAGGCCATGTTTCCAAGTCAGCTTTGCTGCCTAGTGCATAATACCAAGAAAGTTTAGCCTGCTCAAATTGTTGCTGCCCTAGGGCTAGATATCCTTCATAAAAATCTGGTTTAATCTTCAATGCTTCTTCAAATCTCTTCCCTGCACTTCTATGCTCTTTTAATGCCCGGTCATATGCAATTTTTATCTGCTCGAGTAAGGAATCCTCTGGAGCATCCTCTGGTAAGCGCACACCTTTTCTTGCCCTTGACATGTGGACATTACCCCAGTTGAACAAAGCTAGAGCTGCCATCTCTTGAAACTTCTCAGCAGCTACTGTGAAAATGCCTTGAGCCTCATCACTAGTGATAGTTTCCTCCATTGCTTCAGAATAAAGCTTCATACCAAGTTCGTGAAGATCCAAGTATTCATCAGAATCTAAGCCAACATAATTCTTGAAAAGTTGAGCAAAATTAATTATCCAGTCATCAATGCAAGTCGGCTTCTTTCCTGCTTCATCGGCTTTGACCACGTGCCCATTCTCCTGAAGTCCATTGTTCTTGATGGTAATGTCATGAACATCCTCCTTGTCTGAAAGTCTCCCGTGAAATGGATCCTGGTCAGGATTCACTGGTACGACGTACAATCTGATAGAACCCTGTGGCTCTGTGGATGCCTCAGCCCACCTTAGTTCTTCATCTGTAGTAATTGTGACCAAGTCACCTTCTTGGTCTCTGTACTTTACAAGAACAGCTCTGGAGCTCGGGAAGCGATCACGTATCACTTCCCGCACCTGCAAGAGACTACAATTAAGTGGCAACTGAGCCCATCTTATGTCCTCTCCATAAACCAACTTTACAGTCTTCTTAGGCTCTTCGTCCTTTATGCTCACGATTTTCTCCTCCACTACTGCCTTATCCTCTGGCTTCTTCTCTTCGGCTCCTTCCTCATCCTTACCACTCTCAATCTGCTCGGCCTTATTTTCCTCAACTTTATCAACATTCTCAATCTCCTTAGGTTTTTCGAGAGGTTTCTTCCCCTCAATTCGGCTACTTTTCTTTTTCCGAGCTTTCTCTTTCACTCGTTTTGCCAATGATGAAGAGCTAGGAGGTTCAACATAGTCAGGCGGCAACTCAATCGATTCGATGTTCACAGTCAATCCTTTCTCTGCAATTGTAGCTTTCACCCTATCTGCTATCTCCAATGCCATTACATTATTTGGCTCCATGTTCAGAACTGTTGAAGTGTCCCTCAATGCTAAATCCAATCGATTCAATGCCTCATAACATCTCGCCCTCTTCAACAGTGCTTTAGAATACTTGGGCGTGACTTCTAGGGCCAAGTTGCACTCATTGATCGCCCGCGGGTACTCACTGAGACCAATTTGCATATAGCACGCAGCCATATTGCTGCGCAGATACGACACATCTATGTGAACCCTAGGGAGCAATTTGAGGGCTTTTTCGTATTTCAGCATAGCCCCTTCATAATCTCTCTTCTGAAACAACCTATTCCCTTCATCCTTCAGTTCCTGGGACATCGCAATGAAGACCGCCGTGTCCTTATCATATGCTTTTGGACCGTTCTCTCCTGCTTTGTGTTGCTTTGCAATGGTATCACCAGATTTTCCTCCCACCAGTCCCTTCTTCCTCCCGCTCTGCTTCCCCATCATAAAAACGATCCTTGGAGTTGAAGCACTCCAATCAAGAAAGTGAAAGAAGATATACTTTTAGCTATACACAACACCGCACCTTGTCACTGCCCGATTCAGACAACCACAACCAAATCCGGTAAACACATACAAATCGACCTGAACACTACCAGTTGAATCAAACCATACACCACGAAACGATCTACGCAAAATCCGACCCAATCGGCACCAACACACGCGACACCGAATGCAACAGTATTCTGCCCGCCCTCCTCAAGCACTCGATAGAACAGGAACCACCGAAACAAGCACGCCACTAAACCCCCACAAATTCACCCTCGAATATTCCTAAACAGCTTCGACACGCCAGGTATCCTCCCAGACAAGGCTCAAGTTCGCAGCTTTATCCAACAAAGCTCAAGACCCAGATCGAAACACGAATCCAAAGCGCGAATTCCGGTCTCTCCGAACGGGATTCGGGCACATGAGCCCTACAAGATCAGACCCAATTCAGAGAGACGCCAAGAAAACGGGAAAAGGGGTCACCTTTACGCAGCCAAGGGACAGAAAGATGGGAACCCGCAGCCCGGAGAATTCCCTCGAATTTCAATCCGGAGGCGCTTGTCTGGGAAGCGGGTCTGCCGAGAAAGCTGCCAACTTTCTCGGGAAAGCCCAGGAAGATGTTGGAGAAACTGCGAGATTCGTGAGAGGAAAGAACGTGTTGAACTTTCAAAGGGAGGGAGAGAGAACGGACGGGGAAGGGGGGGAAAGAAACGGAGCGATGCGTGGTTGGGCTGTTCCTCCTTACGTGACGTTGAAGATTTTCACTGCTTAACGTAAGCGCCACAAAAAAAAAAAAAAAAAAAAGAAGAAAAATTCCACTTTATTTTATTGTTGTTCTGTCTGAAAATTGTTTTGTTGTTTTGATTTCTTTTATTTTGATTTTGATTAATTTAACAAAATCTGGGCTTTGGACAAGAATGGAGAATAATGCAGGAGGGGCCAGCATTTCGTGAATTCCAAGCTCCTTGGGGACCCTGGCTTTTCCTTTTCTTTCCTTTTTTTTTTCTTTTTTTTTTTGGTGAAGTGCAAAAAAATTATTAAGGTAAATATTATGTTTGGGAAAAAATACAAAAGAAATTGTCATGATGTATCATGATCAAGGAAATTTAAATCGAATAAAGTGCTCGTTCATAATATAATATTTCATATTATGATTTTCTTGATACTCTTCGTTTAAGTTTAGTGTCTTAGTAAGCCTCCTAACATGACAACCCCCGTTAAATCCTTGGAAGTGCTGTCTGAAAAAATCGAATAAAGTATTCATTCAACATTGTGGCCGCCTTTTCAGAGTACGATCCCACGATGAATCTTAATCAATTCGATGATAATCTCAAGATGGAAGTGTCAACACATCTCCATGCTTTGCACGACGGAAAAAAAAAGAAAGAAAGTGAAAAAAAGAAATAGAAGGCGGCGGGCATTGCTCTTCCTGACATCGTGAAAACACACAGGGTGCGAAAGATTCCAATCAAATCATGGGATCAATTAATTTAATCATCGGCCATGTTTAGAGAGAGAGAGAGGATGATGGGATGATGATGATGAAGCTAATATGGCTGGTGTGCAGTTCTTGGCGTGGCCACAGATGATCGCCATCACAAGTCACAGACAGCCTTAACAGGTGGGACCTTTTCATCTGTCCGCCACTTGACCGCACTCCCCATTATCTTTTCTGCAGAAAACCATGTGAATCTGTAGAACCCAAAGCAAACCCCAACAAGAACAACAGAAAGGGGGGAGGTTTTGGGAAAGTGATGATGTTGAGATTGACTTTGGGAAACTCGGAAAGGACAACTCCTCGTGCTGCTGTGATTTCGTGTAGGAGATTCTTCTTGGCTTGGACGGAATGGACAACAACGACCACCTTCGGAGTAACTCCAAAGACAGTGACGGGAATGTGTTGGTGGTTCCGATAGCTCCTTGTAAGTGGGGAATTTGGGTTTGACTTTGGTGTTCTGAAATGATGGTAATGATGTGCTGCTGATGGAGATCCCACGTGATGGTTTTATGAGGCAAAAGCTTTCATGGTGATGATGAACCTTTAACCAGGGATCATTGCAATATGGATAGAGTATCGCGAACACATTGATCTCGCGATAAGGAAATAGATGGTCTTGGAAAGACGAAAGCCCATTTCAAGAAACAAGTGAAATTCATACATTTTTTAGTAAGAGCGAGCAAAAGGAGTTGCCCAAACTGAACCAGTCAGGCTAGTTCGGGGTGGTTCTCGAGGGCACCGGCCCGATCCTCAGTTCCATAAAATCAGAACCGGTGAATTTCGATCCAGTTCCCAGTTCCAGATGTGGAACCACCCACCCGAACTATCCATATCGAATCGATTTTTTTAAAATATTAAAAAAACCCTAATTTATCTCCCATTTCACAAAGGAATGCCTTTCAAGACTTGAGCAACTATGTTTACTTATGCACACGAGTAAGACGACAATAACAAATCAAAACACAACAGTAGTTGCTCGTTTTAACCAAATTTTGCCACAATTGGAAAAATCTCTGTGAAACCTACAATGTTACACGTAATCCATTGATTGTAGAAACATATTGATTGTCAAGAGCATCTTCAATTTCATCTTGGATATTAATGACAAATAAAAAAAAACCGAATATGCCACTAGTTCCATTGGGCCACCCAAGAACTGGACAAGGACCGGTCCGATCTGGTTCTAGGGGGCACCGATTGTTCCGGTTCCATGGGGCACCCGTCCAGTTCACGGTTCCAGAAACCACTAACAGTCTCTCTAATTCGGTTCTCAATTCCTGAGTGGGAACGGGATTACTTGGGAACCAATCACCCTTACTTTTTAGTCCGTTTGATGGCTACAAACTTCGTTTAGTTAGCCAATAGGTCAGCGGTAAAGCTAATTGGAGTTTAAAAATGGCCCTAGATTTCCACTCATGAAGTTCTTTGGTTAAGCATGTGGTCCAAATTTGGGGAATTAGTGAAAACCTTTCCGATTAGTTATGTAATTGTATAGGAAACAATTAGCAGGATAGATCTAAACCAATTTAAGTAAAGTCGGCAGGCCTAGCCTTGGCCCTCAAAGAGAGCCAACCATGACGTCTATCTATCTATATTGAGAATTACTAAAAATGAATGATTGCAAGTTCATGACGGGACCGTCCATCAATATAAGTTGATACATCAATTCACGAAGAAAATTGCTAACCATATGAAAGCTCACCGACTTGTAGTGGTGTCAGAATTAATAATCATGTGATATTTTGCTAAGCATGTGAGATATTTACCATCATGTGCTTCTTTAAGTCGATTGCATAATTTGCCATAAGCAATGAAATCTTTATCATACTATACCCGCACGAAAAGTTATCCACAAATAGTTGAAAGATGTATAATTATTAAAATGGATAAATGTATCGAAAGTTCCAAAACTTATCACGAAAGTGTAATTGAATCCTAAATTTTACCAATGATACAGTCAAGTCCTAAAACTTGTTAAATTAGTACAATCAAGTACTTCTTTCAATTCCATGCAATTAGACCAACGGAAAATGATGATGTGATTTTTTTTAAAATTATTTTCCCTCTTCTACATAGCATTGACCTTACTAAAGTATAAAATATAAGATTAAAAAACATCGTTTTGGCTTAAATCCTAATTTTTAAACCAAAATCTTAATTAAAAAAGGTAATTTTTTAAAATAAGGAGCTAGGCTCCCGCTGGCCCTTTCCAATGACGGTGGGGAGGTGGCGGCGGGGCCCATCGCCCTTGCCTTTTGTTTTCTCTTTTGTGTTCCTTTTTTTATATAATTTTTAATCTAATTTAATTAAGACTTTGGTTAAAAAATTATGATTTAGGCCAAAACGACGTCGTTTTAATCTTAATCATGTTTTAGTAAAACCAATGTCACGTAAAAGAGAGAAAAAAATAAATTAAAAAAATCATGTCATCATTTTCTGTTAGTCTATTGGGCGGAGTTAACAGAAGGCTCGATTGCATTAATTTGGCAAGTTTTTATATTTGATTGCACTTTTTGTAAATTTTAGAATCTAATTGCATTTTCTTGACAAGTTTAGGGATTGACAATACACTTATCCCTTATTAAAATGCCAGAGATGTTATTCAAAAGATTAGCTTTTCAATGAGATTGATAAATTAACTCGCAGTTAGCAAACTTTAGGTTCCTATATGTTATGGATGGTGAGCTCTCGATCTACAATTTTTTAACCGGCCGAGATCCACACAAATAATCGATCCAATGGTAATTGCATTCGAAACATTAGTAAATATTTCAAAAATAAGATTAGTAACTTCTTTGAAAGCTTAATAATTTGATCAATTTATGGGTAATCTTTGAAATCTTCGTGGTTAGGTTAGCAGTAGCTTTTCGATTGATACTAGTAATTACAAATTAGTCACAAGTCGTGGTAGATTCGATTATGCTTTTGGAGTTCGTAAATCAGCGTTACCAACAGAAGCACGTGACCAGTCACGCGACCGCCGGGGCGAGCGGCCGAATGACGTGGCGGCAGGCGATTGGGCAGTCCACGTCGGGCTACGTCTTTCGTTCACCGCCACCACACGACCACCATCACCACCACCGTAGTCGTCGTCGTCGTCGTCGTATTCGTCGCGGACACCGCGCTTGCAGAGAGCTCCGTCTTCGTCTTCCATCGATAGAGAGAGAGAGCGAGAGAGCAGATTTCTCTTTCAGCTCGAGATTCTGCTGGAAAGAGCTCCTAATTCCCATCTGGGTCTTCGCAAAGTTCGATCTATCGAGAGAGAGAGAGAGAGAGAGAGAGACAGAGAGAGTGAGAGAGATGAGGCTGCTGCTGCTGTTGTTGTCGTCGATCCTTCTCCAATGCGTCCTCTGCGCGCAGGTGCTGGCCGACAAGATCTTGACGGCTCACGTTGGTAATTGATCCCACTCTCATCATCTTCAGTTGCCTCGCCGGGACGTATTCTTGATATCAGCAAATCGCACGATTTCTTGATTTCTGTTCTCCTTCATGTATCGTATCTCCTTCAAATTACGTTCTTTGTGTTTTTCTCTTTCTGGGTTTCTTTGTTAGCGTGAGGTAATGTCTAGAATGCTTGGATAGAATTTAGCTTCAGGTCTTTTCTGGACCATTTCGATTAGAAATCGAAGATAGTTGTTTCTGTGCTTCACTACAGCCTGCGCGATCGGTACTTCTTGATATTTATTCCAGATATTCTTAATCTTGATTTGGGTGCTTTAAAGAACATGCGCAGATGGTGTGATTCGATCGACCTCGATGCGTGTGTGTTCTTGCAACTGGACTCGGGTCTCCATTTAGTTTGAGAGTGGTTATGTAGCCCTATCGTATCGCACGAGCTTTGCTTACCAAAGCATAATGCATCTATTTGCGAGTAATGCGATGCAAATTGGTAAGCACGGGCTTGCTTTAGTGTTCTGGTGCTTAAGTATGATTTTTGAATCCTTCTTTTAATTCGGGTCGAGCTCCTACTGAATTATTTTCCCCCTAGCAAGGTAATGATGAGGGGATGTAGGAAATGCGATCGGGAGTGAGCCGTGGAAAGAAGCATCAGTCTTTTGGTAGTTTTGTCATGCTGTCAGAGTTTTCACTTCCCAGATGGAAGGGGCATGTGATTGATTTTTCAGCTGTCTATGAGAAGCCGTTAATTGATTACTCTCTTGATGGTACAAGGAAGAAGTCTTTCTTTCTTCTCTTTACATCTAGATACATTCAGCAATTTCGCTGAATTGCAGATACGTTTCAGCAATTGCAAGCACTCTTTCTTTGAGATTAGTGATCGAGGTAATAGGTATCGTATGTGTATCAAGAAGGAGATTGTTCAATTTCTGGTTCTGATTTTAATTTGCTTAGAAAAATGGACCTTGCGGAAGTCTTCTTTTTGCCAAACATTTGGCAGGTTTGTGAGTTCGCTCCTAATAGTTTGGTTTCTAGCCGACACGTTGCTTTCCACTGGTCAAGCTGACATTTTCCAAATTGTGAGATGACGGCTTCTTCTATCAAATTACATAAACATGCACTTGTGATTTGGAAGCAGGAGAGATTCATTTAGAACTGAATGATCCGGTGATATATAGAAATCTGAACACTTGGTCTCATCTCTTTGGTAAGGATACAGCAACAATCTATGAGTGCAGGAAATCTATGATTGACCTGTCTGAGCAAACTTCCTTGTTGTGATGCTGATAATCTGGCTTGACTTTCTCGTGCAGTTTATTTCATGATTGTTTATGTGCTCTGTGCAGATCTTCATTTCTGATTAATGTAGAACTAAGTTAACCATACTGTAGAAACCGCAGAAGACTTGAAAGTACACGAGTATAGGCTCCAGTAGTTCCTTATTCTCATGACACTGTCTTGACAGGTGGTACTTTTGGACGTAGTTCTCGCGAACCAAAGTATAATATCGAGTTCCATCCAGAAGACTCTCCCTTTCATCCGGTAAGTGCGAGATTAGGTTTTTCCTGCCTCTACTTGGGACTTGCATGGTGTTTTAATTGGCTAATATGAATAAATCGGAGATGCTGCATTACGTTGCATGATCCGGGGAAGTAATGACACTTTTCAAGTTTATTCTCTGCTTACTCAGTCTATTATTCACTGGAATTATTATAGTTTGGATGGATCAGTTGCTAAGAAATTTACACAATTGTTATTTATTGGTGTGTGCATGTTTTGAAGTCTCTTCTGCTTTTGCCTGTAGGGTCATTAGGATTTGTTGTATGTGTGATTTTTTTCTAATTTTAGGGTTAGTTTGATGTCTCTGTATTATGACTTTTTGCGTGGTTTTTTTATTTTCGTTGTAGGAAAATTAAGTTGAACTTAATATTTTAGCTGTAATTTTTCAGGATGATGATCAGGAATCAGTAGTTATGCCCAGTAAAGATGGACAGAAGTACTTATGTTTCTTACCCAAGGTTGAGAAAGCCAAGAGTGAAAAACCAATTATTCAGCAGAATGTGACCAATATGATTGTGGAAACGGAGAAACGCGTCAAATTGAAGACACCTGATGAGCTGCTTGAAGTACTAAAGGACAGCTGTCTCGTACGAGTTAGTACCTATTGCCCCACCTCTAATTGATGTTCCTTCTTATCGTAGAGAGGGGAAAAAAGTAGAAAGCTGATTTCTAGTTGATAGAACCATCAGGGATGTGTTACATCTAGGTTTTCTAGTAGATGTTTAGGTTGCCAGGACATATGGTATTTATTGATAACTTACTTCGCTTATTACCATCTCTAATTTAAATGCAGCAAGAAGGTTGGTGGTCATATGAGTTCTGTTATCACGGGAAGATACGGCAATTTCACGTGGAGGATGAAAAGGTAATTATGGTTGCATGTGAAGTGCTTGTGTTTTTGCATTGCTACTGACAGATTTGGCAATTTCGAAAAGAACTTGCATGCAATACTTGTCCTTCTTTCACGTATATATCTATGTCGCAGTTTGGCCAAAAAGAAATTTTAATTTTGTCATTACTTGTTTTTTGTCGTACCTCATGCTTCATGCTAATCCAAGCCATTATTTGCTTGTTACAGGTGGTCCAGGAATTTATCTTAGGTATATATGATTCAGAGGCCACATCTGCTTTCAACCAGAATCTCTCTGATGTCTCGACATTGAAGGATCCCCGATCAAAAGATGCTTCTCAAAGGTTTGTCCAATGGCCTTGTTTTCACTATTCGTGAATATAGAGGACTCTCTGGAGGAGACTTTCTTGTTGGAGCCAGAGATAGAGCACAATTTGATACATATATATTTGGTTTACATAGGTATCATGCTCATCAGTACACTAACGGGACTACATGTGATCTTACAAATCAGCCTCGTGAGACTGAGGTAGAATGACTTCTATTGTTAATATATCAGTAAAGGATCCCCTTTATTTATTTTTTTATTTTTTTCATATCCAAGTTTTTTGCGCAAGTGTAGGTGAGATTTGTATGCTCAGAGCCTAGAGCTATGATTACTTCCATCACAGAGTTGTCCACGTGCAAATACGCTCTCACAATTCAAAGCCCTATGCTCTGCAAGCATCCGTATGTGGTTCTTCCTTTTCTCGTCACTGATCACTAATGTACTGCCATCCTGGCTGTGACTAACCCACCAATTCTCAATTCAAAAGCATGTGCTCGTTTCTTCTATTTGAATGTTTGCCTTAAACCTTTCAGATTGTTCCAAGAAGAGAGACCTGTATGGCACACCATCAATTGTAATGTGATTCATAAAGATCAGAAGGAAAAGAGACCAGAAAAGGAAAAGGTTGAAGATGAACAGATTATCATGGTTACGGGGGACAAAGGTTCAGTAGCTGATGATACAGAAGGATAAGCAACAAAATATCCACACACAAAGTAAATATTTTGGGAAGGAGTTTTTCTGGTTTGCTGCTGTTGTAAGGCTTTTCCTGGTAGTGCTTCCAATATTCTGTCACCTTGTAACCAGCGTTCGTGCTTGTAGAAAGCTTCTTCATACAGATGGATTTTTTTTTTTTTAATACCAGCATTCGAGATGCTCAGCTCCTTTTAAGGAACAGTAGGAGTAGGAATACGTGAAGCTCCAAGTTTAACATGTTGGAGTTGCGTTTGCGGAACTGATCCCTAGCTTGAAGTGTTCCTCAAGCAAATTTCAGTTTAACCAAAGCATGCCAAAGTAAATGTACTACCACTAGTACTAGTCCTAATGAGAGATAGTTGGGCCTTTCTTTCCTGGAAGTTTGTTTACTTCTCTGATCTTGATTTCTTGGTGTCTTATGCTAATCCTGTCTAAAGTATAAATGTTTCTTCGTAAGAATTTCTCCATCTTTTTACATCAGATTCATTGCCATCATGTTTTCGGCTATGCGTGATGTTTTATTTTCCCCTTGCGATCTAAACACAATGGAGGATGTCCATGATAAACTTTTCAGCACATCTAGGAGTCAGAAGAATTAACTGGAACGAGACGCTTTAACCCAGTGTATTTAATTTTAAAACCACACCAGTTTAGTGGAGTGAAAACAATCTCATACGTGAAGTGGAAAGATCACTTCAAATCTATGCGTTATGACTGGAACAGGACGACGAATTTTCTGGTTTTAGGAACCTAGGCTTTCAGCAAAGCTGATGATCACATCTTTGAACTGCGAGTGATGGCGAAAGAGAGCAAAGATCTGTCCGGCTCATACTGTAGTAAACTTATTTGCGATAGCTTTGTAAACTTGAGTAGCGATCAGTGTCGGTCACAAAAGAAGCTTTGAGGAAGTACAACCAGCTGCACAATTGCTCCAGCAAGAAAACAGACCCTTGACACCGGCCTCTCTAGGCCGCGCTTCATTGCTTTCACGTTTTTGTACTACTCGAACAAACTCCTTCGAGCTTAAATTTCCATCGCGGTTTGCATCGAACAAGTGGAATATTATGTCCACCACATTGTTTGCAATGGAAATGCCACACACCTTGTGAAGACCAAGAAACAATTAACCATAAGTTTCTACAGAGAATGCATAGCTCGGAAATGAAAATTTTTCATGAGGACAAACGCAAGTACCTGGGAAGCGGCCCTCTGGAAATCCCTTTTCGTGAGCAGTCCATTCACTTTCCCATAGCTGAAAATGGCAAGCGAAAATGACTGCAACACCTTACGTAGCTCTGCGAAATCCTTGAATTCCTGGAAGGAGATCCTCAGGTCTCTGAGTAATGGTTCCCCATCTATTTCGTCGACCCGGTCAAGCAACTTGTTTATGTGGCTCATGTCAGCAGATGCAACCAAGGACAAGGCAAAATCTTTCGCTGATATTGTCCCTACTGATCTAGCGTTGTAATGCGAAAACTCTAAACGCAGGATCTGATTAGACAAAAAAAATATAAAGTCCTTGAATTTGTTAGGGGAGAACTTGGTCTGTAAGGTATCTGAATGAGCAATCTAGTCATATTCGATAGCTACAAACACAGGTGGTGAATTAAAAGAATTTGGGGAGAGCACGTACTTCATCATGCAAATCTTTCAGAAATTGGACGAATCGTCCATGTTTTAGCTTTTCCTGGCCATCCTTGCCAAAGAAGTACTCCACCAGACCGCCTTCCTCCACCGGATCTTTGACTTTTAGCCCGACTCTCTTGCCGTCCCTGTGCCGAGCCCCTTGTCTGTTTTGGGATCGCATCAGAGCCATCACCTTCCTGAATTCTTCCTGGTCTATTTCGCTGTTGACGAATGCATACTTGTTTCAGCACAGAATTGATTAGAAGGTACATAAAGGATTATCAGACCGTCGATAATTTATCTCCTATGGATATAAAATATCCTTTTTCTCAATATAAAGTAGCACTTCTCATAATCTTTTCTGTATCTAAAGCACAATATGCATCGGATGAAGAGGGGAGCATACTGAACACCGCAAAGATATGTATCTTCCATTATGGATGTTGGGAGAGTAATATGAGAATCTACAAAGCTATTGAGAACTTTTTGGATGAACCATAATTACCCATTATTGTCCAGATCAAACATTTTAAATGCCACCTCAAAACTTGACTCGGGGATACTGAGCAGCGTGACGAAAAAGATGTACCTGTTAAAAACGAATGAAAGCCACCTTAGTGATGCAGGTCGATTTCAATTCTAATAGGTGGAAATTATGAAGAGTTTTCATGGCCAATCCAGAAGAGTGCTAATGACATTCTTCTTACTCTGGAAATGAAATAAGTCCATCATTGTTCATGTCGAAGAGCATAAAAAATTTCGAAGGAGGACAATATAAGTCTCCAGGTATCCTCTCTCCTCTCAAATATCCCTCTCTAACACGATCCGATTCGGAGGGGGGAAACACCGGTACAACTGCTCGCATCAAGTCCGCCGGCGTCATGAGAACCTCTCCTGAAGGCATCCGGACTGATGCAAAGTAATCGAAAACCTTGAATATCATCAAAAATTAAAAAAAAAAACAGGTGAGCTCTCATAGATTACATTTGGTCGAAAAGAATGCTGCGATTTAGGCTGAAGCAAGAAATCATTTTCGAAGGTAAATTCAGGTGACTTATCGAACTCCTCCAGGTGATTTTTAGCTCGATGACCGAGATGAGCAGAGGTGTACCTTTTCAGGGGGACTCTGCATCCGGATCCGCTTCTCATAATTAAAGAAGATTCGTCTTCTGTATGCATCTGAAAGTGATTATCAAACTAATTAGCATAGAAATAGTGGAAATTTGACGACACAGTGGTTTCTACCAGATTTGGCATACCACGTCAGCTAATGATACGGTGTGTGACAATTCTTTGATAAATATATGTATGCTTACCTCCGACGAGGAAGTTGCGTTTCTTTCTGCTCGTTGAAGCCTGGAGATCGTCACTAGAACGCCATGTCTCTTTAGGATAATCCGCGAAAGACAAAAATGGGCTAGTCCCTGAGGAACTTGAAACCCAACAGCAAAATCCAAAGCATGACCCAGCAATCAAAACTCCTGAAGAAACTAATGACCCTGCACAACTACCCAGCAATGTCTCTCCATTTCTTGTGTCACCAGATTGCCATTTCCTGAAGGAAGAACAACTCCTCAGCCGTTGATTTTCTAGGACTTGACGAATGAACCGCAATGATTCCCGAGAAAACATGGTATAGCGACAAGATCCTCACTAGCAAGAACTCAACAGCATATGCATCAAACTGAAAAAACCAGAAGTATAATGGATTCCTAGCAAGACTTTCATGGTTTTGCTTTTGACCGAGCAAAAAGAGGGTGGTTTGTGACTGTTATTGTGGTGAGCAGTTCAATTGTTTACGAGATCCTACTTTTTAGTACTTCAAGCGCAAATATCTCCAGCTTCAATCACCAATCTCAATGTCGTGATTCCTAGATAGTTTTAGTCTCATCAGTTTGTAACGTTATTCTACTAATAACCATCGCCCCCAGAAGATGTCCTTTCCTAGGTTCTTGTAAAAGGCCGGCCCGTTCAATGCACAAGACTTGAAATTTTTTTTTTATTATAATTTACATGTATTATAACATTTAACTAAGAATTTTGTGCCTAAGACTCTCGTCCTTGGATTAACATCAGACTTTTTAAGTCAAACGTATTATTATGTCTATCAAAATATATGCATTTTCGAACTGTTTCAGGTTATATTGCTTATCGATCTACTTTCATACAAAAAAAGAGAAATCCTTTTCTCAACCTTATAGTGTCCGTGTGCATTAATTTTATAAGTCCACTTTTAATTTACCCTAATGAAAGTTATGAATGTTGCACCCCACATTTATCTCTCTAATTGCATCCATACATAAGTAAATGTCTTAAATCCAACAAAAATTTTTCTTTCAACAATCTTTGAATTCGCAAATTAAAGTTCTGTCTAGTTTACAAGTTTACATGACAGGAAGAGTGCTTCCTCTCAGTATTAAACTCTCCTCACTTCTTTTTCCTAAAGACTATTTTGGAAGCTTGCCAAATGATATATCGATCAGGAAAGGAGCCCTTGCTCTGTTTCGCATCTTTCAATCAAAGATCAGATTGATTTCTCCCAGAACCATGATCACATCGGAAATCCAAGTCATCCTTATAGTCGTCAGTTAGAAAATATGACCGATTCTTCACAAAACCATGATCGTAGGGGTTTCTGAATTTGCCGCTTTGGTCCTTGAGGTAGCTATAACTATAGCCTTACGAATTCGTGTGCTCCTTCGTGGCAACATTACAAGAAATCAGCAGTAATTACAGAAGAACCTAAGGTATCACTACTCTTCTATGGCAACAAAGGATCTGCAATGTGAAACAAAGACATTACCAGCACCGCTTGGTAAGTCCAAGCAATCCAAGCTTGTAGAAGACAACCACACCCGCCAAATGAAAATTCATAACACCGGCATGATGCCTTCCAACATGTTTCAACCGAGCTCGAGAAGAAGACGGCGCAGCCGGGTCTCCAAAAACTCCTGCATGCAAAGGCACATTACTATGACTACAGTCAGAAATGGCGAAACTCACTCTCAAGAGCAACTGCACCGGTAACTGGCAATGCAGAAACTACTAAAACTAGTGATGTAAAAAATGCTGTATGTTTCTCTGTATCACAAGACGACAACAATGAATCGGCAACCAACACTAAGAGGAAAGATGATCCAAGGACGGAGATTTTCTTGTTGAAAAGATACTGTTCTTGTCAACGTAGAGCTGGTCGCAAGGAATCACTGTGTGCAGGTTTCTTTCAACGCGAATTTCTTGCACTAAAGGAAAAAAATCATGAGTCATGGAGGTCATAAATTGTTGAATAGTGGCAATGTGGTTTTCAAGAAGAGCTAAGGGCCATACCTTGCAACTTCCACAGTTGTGGGGTTTATGATCAGCTTTGCCCACTTCTGCATTAAATTTGGAGAAGAGATGATTGATCCCTGTGATATTTTCAGTCCCACATCATGGGCTCAAACCGAAATAAGCATAAACAGAAAAAAAAAACAAAATAACTAAAAAACAGGAATTAAAAGGAATTTATACATGCAAAGACGTCAGAAGAAACTAAACAAATCTTAATGATCCAGTGATATAAGCCGATGCCATCGGCTTATTCAGTGCATGATGGACTGCATCGAGGTAAGAATTTTTCATTATTTAAAGTGCTATCAATCCCTTTAATATAACGTATTCAGTTCAACTCTTCAATAATCTTTCGGAGAGTCCATTTAATATAACAGAAGTCGATGCATGATATCGTCATGTTTACAAAAATTGGTAACCATAAGATTACATTTGTATGCATTGCTTTCACTAAGTTAAAACTGTTTACCAAGTTCAAATCCCCAAAAGATATTCTGGCCTTGAAAAACATGCGTTAATTACTCTCTTTTTGGTTCTTGGAAACAATTTTTTTAAAGAATGTAAATCTGAAGAACACTACAAGAACAATCAAAGCCAAATCTTTTCCATCTCATTTCCCTAGGTACTCCTAGTGGCTCGTGAACCCATCTCACCCACCACCTGACCTTTATAATAATCTCAACCCAAGATGACAAAAAGTGACTAAGTCAATGCCCCAGAGAGAAAAAGAATAGTATTTAATTCGGTCATTGCATATTATGGTGTTAGGTTTATATGATTTAATATCTTTAAAATGGCCATATCTCCCCCTTCTTTTGGCCTCAATGACTTTTTCAGCCTACTTTTAATTAGAGTTCACCTGCCCCCTAACAATTATTAAGAACCCAATTGAAGAAAAAGCATAGCTCTCTCCCAACAACATGTAAAAATTTTCCATATGATGGTTGGCCTAACTTGACTCTCACTATTTACTCAGTTTGGCTTCTTGAGTGCCACTATTAAATTTGCCGTCATTAGTCGATGGGGGGATGGATTGCTATCAAGTATTTGCCCAAGGATAGAGAGCTAACCATGCAGAGAAAGAAGGTTGAACGAAAATTTCAACATCTAGATGTTTTTGGAAAGAAGGGGTGGCTACATTGTCACATCGATTAGCCTACTTAGTCCATCTAGTTTAGCGATAAATTGATAGGATGGTGATATTCCAACACGCCTTTGATTGATGACAAACTGAGATGCTCCCCTAGCCACGACGTATGACCACAACTCGAATCTATCATGAACATGTAGCTGAATCGACAAAAGGTTAAAATCGACATGAGTGAGATTCGAAAGGAGAAAAGCAAGTGATGTTCGAACATTAATCGGTACTTAATGAATCACCCAAAGATTAACTTAAAGCCATGGGGAAAATGGTAACGTTCATCCATCCGTGACTTGGAGACTAATCATTCACCTGCCGGTCCCTTCAACGAATTCATGGTCCCAATTGATGCTTTAAGTTGTTCCTTTTTTGGTTTCAGCAAAGTGCTAAGAGTCACTTGTCCATGCACTATTCTTACCCCACATTCCTCTCTTTCTCTCTCTCTAACTCCCACATGGGCTTAAAGAAGAAGATGCATTCATGACCGTGACACCCAGAAACAGCAGTAAATTCCTGGTCTAATTTGGCACACCTCATTGCTTTTGTCACTCTCAATCCCTCAACTACCTTCCAAACTCACATGAAAGATATATACCCACAATCCTCCAAATTGCAGACCGAAAACCGGAATTTCCTTTGCCCCTTCCTCTTATCTCTCCCACTCTCACCTCTCTTCCTTCTCTCACACATCCAAAACACCAACCTCTCACACCCATGAACATCACATAAGCACATTCAAGAACCCAAGAAACACAAGCCAAGCCCCCATCAAAATATGGACTGGTTCTCCTGGCTATCCAAGAGCAGCCTTGACCCAACCCTCATCTACGAGTATGGTCGTGTGTTCGCGCTCAACGAGCTTCAGGAGGAGGATATCAGCTACTTCGACCATGAGTTCCTCCAGAGCATGGGCATATCTGTGGCCAAGCACAGGCTGGAGATCCTCAAGCTTGCCAAGAAGGAGCATGGAGGGCTCAGGCCAATCTCTGGCCTCGTCATGGCATTCAGCAGGACCAAGAGGTCTGTGGGTAAGTACATTGGCAAGCTTGTTTTCCATGATCAAGAGAGGGATGTGAAGGCCTCACCACAGCCCAACAGGTACAAAGAGCACTGGAGAGGTGCATTGTTGTCAAGGAAGCACAAGAGTGAGAAGGAGGTGAAGGAAAAGACAATTGAGTACCAAGACAGGAGGAACATGACACTGTCTGGGCCTTTGGATGGAAGAATGCTGGACAAGTATTTGCTGGCCCATAAGAGCCAGAAGTTTTCTGGCCCCTTGGGCACCAGAGCCCACCAGAAGCCGGTGTTTGCGCTGCCGAGGTGCCCGAGCCCGAAGTTCTTGTCCGGACCTCTTGACGGAAGGGTCCATGAGAAGGTGCTGCACCCGACGAGGAGCCCGAAGTTGTCCGGGCCTCTTGACGGCAGGGTTCAAGAGAGGTTCATGGTCCCGAGGAGCCCGAAACTGTCCGGACCTCTCGAGAGGACAGCTCAAAGCCCGAAGCTGTTGTGGAGTGATATCAACAAGGTGAAGATGGATGCATATGAGTATGATGAGCAATCCCTGTGGGCGAAGCTGTTCGATGACATGAAACCTACTTGAGAGAGTTGTGAAAGAGTTTTTGAGATATTTATGTTGGGTGCTTTTTTGCTTAGCATGGGGATGATCAGGGGTAGAATTTCTATGGAGAAGTTCTTTCTTCAGAAGGAGGAGCCATGTGTGTCTGTTCCATTCTTCTTGTTCTGAATTTGAGAGGTAGCACGTGTTGATAGGGTGGTTTGGTTTCCTCATTTCTGTTATCATAGCATATGCATTACGCTTGTGTTAATACATATACTTGGGTCATCACTGGGCCAATTCCATGCGGTGCAAGATTCCAAGTGGTTAGCTGTATTCATCCTTTTCAGGCAACAACATCAAAAATAAATGCTGAAATGTGCTGGAACAGTTGGTTCTAACTGCTGTGTCGGCTGAAAAGATTAATCAGAAGCGACTGGAGTCTAGAATTATCAGCATTGAAGGCTAATGAAAGAGTAGGAAGATCCGTTGATCCTGAATTTGAAACTTTCTGCACCAAAAATATTTTCTCAAAAGAAGGTATTCGCGCATTTTAGTTAGAAAATTCAAGTCTTGAGTAGCTGTAACTCTTAATATCATAATAAATTATGCACACCCTTCCTTTGTTGAGCAGCTACAATAACTCTTAGCTTTAATTTTCCAAACACCACATTTAAGCCCACACAATATAAGTTCATACATCCACATCCACGCGCAGTACTCTTCAATGACAAAAAAATCACATCAAAGTAGCCAGCTCTGTAACAGCAAAAATGCAGATCTTTGCTTCAATGCGTAGGATACTTTCCATAACATGACCAATCTTATAACTGGTGGTTTGCTTTTCTGGGTGGCACTAAGACGTGCTCTGAGTCATGTCGCTACCGTGTGAGATATAGGTAACCACATGCTGTCCCATGAGTTAAACGTTCGTGCCTATGCTCTGTTCCTTCGAATCTATCAGTGACTAGAACTGTTTGGCAACCTAAATGAACCCCCAGAATAAAGCATCTGGTAAACGGGCTTTATTCTGATAGTCAGAATTATGCTCAATATCACTCCAAAACCGCAGACACCAGCAAGAACAAGGAAAGTGAGCCTAAAGCAGTTTGGACCAAGGCAGGACCCGCTCGAATTTAGAAGCACGAGTCCTTGGAGAGAGAGTCCGTGCTGTTTGGCTGCCTCGTTGTCATAAACATACCCGGCTAGGAGGCCGGACAAGAGGAATGCACCAATTGGGTTCCCCAGTGACATGAAATTGTAAAATATTCCAAAATGCTTCAGTCCGAAAAGTTCGGAGACGGTCGGGACCATTATAGAGAGTTGGACACCGTAGCAGATACCGAGTAATGCAGTCGCCACAAAAAGTGTACCGTCAAAAGCAGAAGCAAACAGAAGGTATATGGCAATCATAGCAACTTGAGTCCATGTCATCCAAACTGTTCGAGGCATAGTTTTTGACCTGCACAAGCAGCGCATATTCAAAATGTAAGGTCTGAACGTGGGGTATATTTCTGTGATATTTTGTGAAAAAATTATAAGATGGCCCACAAACATTTCAGTCGCCTATCGAAGAGCGTTATACAAGCACCATCAACAACATGCAGCAGAAGAAGAGAAAAGAAGTCTTCCCAGATATTAACCAGTCATAAATAAGAAAGAAAATTTTGGTTGAATGAAGGATTTGGAAAGAAAACGACGGAAAATCTAGTTTCAGGCAAAATCTGACCAAGACAATTCATATAAGAGATGCTCTACATCTTTTACTGGAAACTAGGAGGACTGACCCGCATGATATTCACTATGCACTTAAGATTTTCTTTTGCCAAGTATGGTCTTTTTGTGTTGATACCTTGACCAGATGCATTCACTAATTAAAGAACAACGCCAGACTTGTTAAAATGGAAAGCGGAGAACAATATCCTGTAGTATACCGACCTGACAAAATGTTCAGAAACGACACCCCCGCCAAGACGGCCCGCAAAGTTGCCGAAACTGAAGAGAGACAACAAGATGGTTGTGTCATGGACACCTTGAGCAATCCCTATTTCGGCCAGATTGTTAAGCACGGTCACGCCAGTACCAACTCCGACAAAATACACCAAGAACAGAAGCCAGAAATCTGCCTTAACAAGAGCTTCAAAGAACTTGAAATCCTCCCCTCTCTTGGGCCTCCTCTTCTTCTTCACTGCTCCCTCACCTTCTGCCAAAAGCAAGTCAATCTCTGATGGCCCATCACTCTCACAGAAACTTGCTACATGTGTAGCAGATGATATACGTGTCAAAAGTGGCTCAGTTTTCTCATCGACATTCTCATTTATTGAACAACCGGAAGACGTAGCTGATTGGTTAGAAGTCTCCGATTTATTTGTCTTGCTGCGGAACAATGTCATCTTGACAGGAATCGCCAGAGGAGCCATGAGAAGGAGAATCATAATGACAATGAAACTAAAGGATATGGGAGGCGTCAAAGAAAGCACAACATCTAATATCGTCGTCGTTAGGAGATATAAGCCAAGCACAATGCTTGCAGCTTGTATGAAAAGAAAATGGCCATGTTCTGAAGCATCTTCACCTGAAGCAGGAGTACAAGCCCTAACAAAGTACATCAAGGTGATACAGAGGAGAGGGATCCCAATGGAGAGGAATGCCAGTAACTTGGAAGAGGAATGTCGAAGCAAGACACTGTAAATTTCAGTAAATACAGCAGCGCTTAGGCCTGCATAACCTTTGAGGATCCCTGCAACCGTGCCTCGGCTTAGAGGGAAGTTTCTCATGTTTGTTACCAGAATGGCTGTGCTGAGCCAGGCACTGCTATTGGTGGCAATACAGAGGGCAAGCCACAACTGCACCACCGAAAAATGCACATTGACAAATAGATACAAACTTGTTAAGTATCCACACCTTAGTAAGTGAGATAAGTAACTTCTGAAGAAGCAAATGACGGAACGACCTTATTGGGCTTGGAAGTTTAATTTTGAGTCTGCCACTCACTTGAGTTTCTTAGCTCGAGAAAGACAATAGTTAACAGTTAATGGCTCGATGGAAATATTACCATTGAAGAATGACTCCTATTTTAAGTTAACCGGCCCTCAGCATCCGACCATCTCAGATAGGAAAAATCCAAAGCCAATCTCGTTGCTAATACTACATGTTAATAGCAGTCAAAACCTTTCCCCTTTTTCATCCTTAATTCTAGCTCACGGAAATAAGATAACCCGTGATCTACTCCAACTATCAACTCAGCCAATCAAATACTCAATCCACTAACTCGGGTACTCACCATTTCAACAAAACAAATCGACTACACATACGCTCTTCTCTAAACTACAAATTCCTCGCCTAGGCCACATTCAACTTAGTCACAGATGCATACTTGTGACTTCGAGAGTATGTGTATCTACATTAACGACAACAGTAACAGCTAAAGTAGATTAATTCCATAAGTATCTGCAACTTCTTTTTCTCTCTACTTTTCTTTCTAATTTCGCTGTAAGCATCTCGATCAAGAAACATCATGAGAACACGATCTAAAGAAACCCCAAAGTCAGATACTTAAAAAAAAAAAAAAAGACCCATCTAAGGAAGGAAAACACTTAACACTTACTGATTGAACAAAACAACAGCTCAAGTAGGTAGCTCGAACAAGAACAGAGAGCAAGAAACTTGCGAACTCACCAACCAGTAAGGGACAGACTCGACGGTCCGGCTCACGGCGAGATAAAGCACGCCGTACCCAGAGAAGCAGGCGAGCGCGCCGATCAAGAGGACGGCCCAAGGGGGGAACTTGTTGCAGAAGTAGCCGGGGAGGAGGCCGACGTTCTCGCCGATGTCGTTGGCGACGCCGAGCATGGTGAGCTGGTGCTGGCTGAACCCGAGGACCGACTTGAGGGAATGGGAGTAGAGGGGGAAGTTGAAGCCGTTGCCGGAGCCTATCTGGAGCCACACGGCGGCACCAAGGCCCACCCACGGCGGCCTCGTCCCTCCCTTCAGATTCGCCATGGAAGGGACAAACAAAGCTCTTTCTTTCACCTGGTGGGTCGCGACCGTTCTTCTTCTTCTTGTAAAGCTAGAAAGACAGGTGAAGAAAGATCTTCAGTGCATACTTAGAGACACACACACAGAGACAGACACCGTGTGTGTGTGTCTGGTCGTGTTGATGGATGGATGGATGGGGAGATGTGCAGAAGATGATTTGGCGTTTGTACAGACCATCTCTCTCTCTCTCTCTCTCTCTCTCTCGCTCGTCGAGGAGAACTAGGGACGGTTATATTGCTTCCATGTCCTATTTGTTGGTGTAATTTTTTATGTTCGTTTAGCCAAATTATAAATATACACATACATATATTTATTAAAGGTCTCTCCTTATTTTGGGCCGTCATCAAGAAGATGAAACTCGAAATGACATAAAAAGTTTCGATATTACCTTCCGATCAGAAAAATAGGATTTTCATATATAATTTCATTACCGACTGTATTTTTCATGATCTTGATTCAACTTACCAAAAATTTTCGATCCTCCGTGAGAAAACGACCTTCAAAACTTCGTCTAGGGAATGCATATGATGCCCTGTGCAACTCCATCGTGAGATGCAAGTGCTTATGTGCTTGCAAAACTTGAGCCTCTCATGCCCCCAGTGATACTATACTTTTCATCTTATAAGTTTAGCTCTCGCTTACCAAAATAGAAAAGCTAGTTTTGAGTTCCCAATTCACATCTTTGATCAACATATGGGATTGTTATAAATAAATAAAAAATAAGGGTATATTCACTTGATTTTTTCCCAGGATGGGAAGCCCATAAACAACCCTAATCTTGAAGGGACAAAAGAATCGAAGTTCAATGCGAAGGAAAGTGCCATGCTTTTGTCCAAAATGGTGGGGGGTTGGTGGTGGGCGGCACATGGTTTTCATTTCATGCGACTCCACCCCATGTCTTGTAGTAGCGTCCACTCCATCTTTGGCCTCTCTAGCACGTCTCTTTTGTTTGTGACTCGAGCATTTGTGCTAGTCCGGCCCGAACAAAGAACGCACCAAAACCCGGGTCGGGTCCCACTCCGGAGCATCGCTTGCCGTCCGTCCGTCCCGGGAAGAATCGGTCCGGCCATTGTTGCCGGGTCGCCGCGGCGGTGGCGGACAGATTGATTGTCGAGCCCCCCCCTTTCCCCCTCTGCTCTCAAAAACTTTCAATATAAGTATAGACTAAACAATTCGAAAGGCACAAGGCACCTTGCAGGCACCGAAAGGGATGATCCCATGTGGGAGCGGGTAAGTTTAATTAAGCTAGGGTTTTTTTGCTAATGAATGCTTCTGTTGGGGCAGTAATCAAGCTCAGCGTTTCTAATCATGTGGATTTGCAGGTTTTGGCTCATATCGAAAGGATGTTGACGAAGGATGTTAACGCTCGTTTTTGGCTCTATCTCTACGTGGATAGAACAAGGACCGCCGACCAGCCCGGACGTGATTTCGTCGTTTTAGGTGGGGATTTTGACCGATCCCTAAACCTCACGTGAACCCTAGAGGCTAGAGTGCATGTGAGCCCGTTTTCTTGTGTTTGTCGATTAGTCTTGATCTTCAAAACATCGTTGGATCGTGGAAGGGAAAGAATAGGCAAACTTAGCTGAGGGGAGTTTCTTTTATTTATCGATATATAGGACACCGGATTTACGAATTTATTTAGATATCAAATGTTGAAAAGATAAAGTAGGATAGATGTGTTTCCCTTGTGATATACGCTTTGAACATGGTTGTTCCCGTTGTATTTTGAACGTGAGGCAGTGTACTAGCAACGTCGCACTTAAATAAGAAAGAAATTGTCGGGCAAGACATTTTGCGAGTATAACATTTGGTAGAGTACATCTCGAGGTTGTTGGGTTTAAGGGGAATGTGTGGGTGTAGATATATATTCCAACGGAATAGCTACGAAATGTCTCTTGAGGTTTGCACTCCCACGTCAAATGCCTTCCTCACTCTTAAATTCTATAATTTAGATGCCTGAATTTTCCACTTTGCATAACATCTCCATTGTCACAAACCTACTTACTTGCAAAAATTTTCATTTTCCTTTCCAAACTACCCTACCCCAAACAAAATCCCCTAAAACACATTTCTCTCCTCCACCATCTCTCTCCTACCCGTCACCAACTAAGCGCCGCCTCCCCGCCCTAGCCCCCCGCCGTCCCCGACCATTGCCGGTCCAGATCGGGGCTCAGTCTCCCGTGGCCACCGCCATAGGGTTTGGGGGTCAATGTGTCCTCTCAGTTTGGAGGAGATGCAAATTGAAGGTTTTTAAAAGTGAGGACGATTTCTCGTGTGGAAGCGTCGATTGAAAAAAGGGAAAAATTACAAAACCTTCGAACCCTAAAAAACTTCCACCGCTTCAAAAAATAATTATCAAGGGGCCTGCCTTAGATCCTTGGTAGTGACTACCAGGGTATCTTATCAAAGCAGGGGAAACCGAAGTCTTCGACAGGGGCCTCCGTGACCTGTCTATTTACATTGCAGTGATGGTGGACTCCACGGATGCGTTCTTTATTTTAACGTACCGTTCTTCCCTTGCCCCAGAGAATATCCCGTGTTTAACGTCCCAGAGTTCAGACGAACCCTTTTAAGGACACGCTTAGATCTAAGTTCTTCAACCATCCAGCTTCCACACGCTTGCAGCGCGAGTATAACAGAAGCTGAAACACTGCAGAGAACGACTCAATTGCTGTAAACCAACCATGTCGGCATGTCCCCCCTTTTCGATTGAAAATAGGAATCGTGGTACTGGGCCTGGTGAAAACGACACAAAGCCCAACAAACAGAGCCCACCTCCAAGATTCACTCCATCATTGGTCAAACCTTTGACCTCTATGAGGCTCAGAAATACAAGTCAAAATGACAAGAAATCGGTACCGAAAATGATGATTTTTGTTTTTCTGTGGAAAAAACATGTGATGAAAGAAGAATTCTTAGCAATTGTCGTTTATGGATGTTTTTCGATTAATAGGTTGTAATGTGCTTTTCGTTTCCATTAGGAAGGCTTCATTGAACTTTCCCGTTTTTATTTTTTTGATGAAATCTTCTAAAAGATGCGAAGCTGCTGGATGGGTAAGCCTCCAAATAACGCTATGCGGATGCATTTGATTGCAACCTCTTTTGGGTATAGGTGGTTGGTCTATTTCACAAGTTCTTGAGGACACATTCATTGGACAGAGACTGGGTCGGATTAAGCACTCCGATGATATGACCCGGCCGACTCGATTTCATTTATAATTTGTCGAAGGTGGTAGTTGTCATAAAATTTTTTATGTACAACCATAGAATGACAATCTGTTTTCAGTACCAGCGACAAAAACTAAACTTGCAGTGCAACAAATTTTAGTCATGCATCAAGATCATCCACAAAAACAGAAACTTAGGTAAGCCCATCATAGTTCATAGTCATACGATGGTGGGTAATGGATGGGACATTTGTTTGAGAATGGCCCATTTTCAAGCCCACCAAAGAAGATTACTCTTTAATCCCACTTCTGAATCTCTTTTAAGAAGTTGAATTTCTTTAATCCCAACAGCTTTGAGGTTAAGTGTAGGGATTAGATATGAGTAAAGTTACTCTTCACCCTAAGCTATTTGAGCTTGACTTCGTATAGATCACTCGAGGATTGGCTCGATCTTTTGTCCGGTTTGATTTGAATTCAAGTAGCTCGAGTACCCGATGAGATCGGGCTCGAGCTTGAATTATTTGATTCGAGCAGGTCTCCAATCTAGTCGAGTAATTAATTCTATAGATATTCATTGTACTTTTAAACTTTGGAATTGAGGATTAGTTCAGGATGAGCTTTTTTCTTATTTTTCATTAAAAAAAAGAAAATAAACGGCACAATTCAACATCTAATTTATCAAGAAATAATTATTGCTTATCGTAATTATTACATGTAAATACTAAGTGCTTTGGACGAGCTGACACAAGGTGCGATTTAAATTATTGTGCACCAAACTTGGACCGAAAGTCGATTTGTTAGGATAATAATGCCGTATTATCGCGATAAATATTGATTAAATGCTTCTCTAGTGAATGATGAACATTTTGCTGAGTTTTTACTCTTGGTTTGAGTTTGAAAAACCATGCAAATAGATTTCAATTACGCCACACTTTTTCAGTTCTCATCAGGAGAGATTTCTATGAACATTAATACTTACAATCATTTATCGTTATGTCAAATTAAAATGTCGGTGTAGCTTTTTAAAAGTTACAAGTGATTTCCTTAGACTACCAACCAGAATAAAATTAGTTTGAATTGTCTATTTCGATTTTGATTTGAAGGTTACTTAGTTCGTAAGATAATTACAGTATCTTGTGAGCTGGGAACAATAAGTTCCTAAAGCGAGCTTCTTTGGCATAGAAAATATTTGTGTTCGGTATCATTACAAGTCAAAATGACAAGAAATTAGCGAAATTGTCTACAAAGTCATAAACCTATTATATGATGGCAATTCGGTCCTAAACTTTTCAATTGTGCTAATTTAGTTCTAAACTTTTTAACGATTTGCTGATTTAGTCCTCTCGATTAATTTTGATTGAAAATCACTAGCGTGGACACCAGCCGGCTTATATGGCATGGCAGATGTTGACGTGTATGATTTTTGGAATTTTATTAAAAAAAATTCTGAATTTTTCTATTCTTTTTTTATCCCTTTTATTTTAGCTAGTGGCCGGTCGCCGGCCACTAGCCATAGGCAATGGTCGGCAAGGGTTGGCCTAATGATGTTTATGGAATGAAAAAAGAATTCTTAACCATTATCGTTATGGATGTTCTTCAATTCATAACTTGTCATCCGCTTTTCTTTTCTTTAACCCTGACAAATGCCAAATATTTTTCTCTGGGTTAAATGAGGAGGAAAAGCTTCTTATATTGGACCATTCGCCTTTTCCCGCAGGTACTCTCCCTATCAAGTACTTGGGTGTTCCTCTTATTACTAAAAGACTCACCCACTCAGATTGCAAAAGCCTTACTGATAAGATATTCAAGAAAATTGAGAGTTGGGGAATGAAGCATATGAGTTATGCGGGTCGGTTACAACTAACCAAATCGGTCCTTATATCTATTTGCACGTACTAGATGCAAATGTTTCTTCTTCCGAAGCAAACTATCTATGAGATTGAGAAGAAGATTCGCCACTTCCTATGGGCTGGGT